AACTTAGAAAATGGAAAAACAATTCTGTGACATTATTTATGGTGTGCCTTAACAGTAGCTACGTCTGGATAACAGTGTTACAGAGACCACATTATTTATGGTATGCCTTAACAGTAGCTACGTCTGGATAACAGTGTTACAGAGACCACATTACTTATGGTATGCCTTAACAGTAGCTACGTCTGGATAACAGTGTTACAGAGACCACATTACTTATGGTATGCCTTAACAGTAGCTACGTCTGGATAACAGTGTTATAGAAAATCCAGACTGTATTACAGTGTGACAGAGAACTCAGGCTGGATTACACTGTTACAGAGAACTCGGGCTGGATTACAGTGTCACAAAGATTCCTAGGCTGGACTTACAGCATCACAGAGAACTCAGGGTGGATTACAATGTTACAGAAAACTGAGATTAGATTACAGTTTGATAGAGAACCCAGGTGCTGGATTACATTATTACAGAGAACCAAGGCTGTATTACTATGTCACAGAGAACCCTGGCTGTATTACACTGTAACAGAGAACCCATACTTCCTAGAAGTTCCTGTAAATTTCTTTTTATCATAAAAATTAAAATACTGTATATTAATTCTGTAAAACTGTATAATAATACTGTTTATTAATATCTATTGTTTTTTTTTTGTTAAAAGTGTATCCAAGTTCTAACTAAAACATTTTCATATACCAGTAAAATAGTAAAATAATATTCATTGTGTTTATTAAAAGTAAACCTCAGTTCTAATATCTCTGACTTCAAAATTAGTAAAATAATTAAAATCCACTCAGTTTGTTAAATCATACTTCGGTTATAACTAAAAAAATTCACTTAATAAACAAAATTAGAGGAATAATTATTGGATATTCATCCTTTGGAAACAATAAAACATATCTTGTCATAAAAACAGGCATGTAAGATATTATTAGACTTATTCCTTACCCAAAATGTTTATTAAAGTATTCCATGTCTTGGCGGGCTTGGCTAGCTCCAGATACCCACAGATCAACTGGGTCAGTGGTTACTGTAAACTTAAGTACAAGGCCCAACCCTAAAATAAGGCTAAGTAAGACCGACAACACCATGATGGGAATAGGATGGCAAGCTACAAATTTACCCCATCGAGAAAAGTAAAAGTACAAGACGTTCTCAATCTTTAACCCTAATTTATGTAAAAATAAAGACGAAAAACACCAGTTGCATAGAACATTTGATAACCACTGACACCGTTTCTTATTAGGTCTTGGACTGGTGTCATTAGAAGCATTCTTCCATTCTACAAAAAAAGAGAAAATCATTTAGTAAAAAAATATGTTGTTTTAGATTCTTGTAAGTAACAGTTATAACTTAGAATGTAGTATTGACACATGAATCTAAGTTTTTAAGTACAACGTACATTCATTCAGTAAAGGTGTATTACTAAAACTATTAAACCTGTATTAGTTCTTCAAAGCTAACATTTGAGTGATACATTTTTTATGGGTCCTTTTTTTCTTTTATAAAATATGTCAATGGTTTATTGATGTTAGAAATTAAATATTTCTTCTAAAGCAAGATTTGGGTTCTTTTCAACAGTATCCAATGTTTAAGGTGTTGTAGTATTGGACCCTATACACAAGAAACACAAACTTCAACACTACAAGTGGAACTTATGTTAAATAAGACACGAGATTCAAAACCCTTATGTGTTTTATCAGGAGTAATTATATTTAAATGAAATATTGCATTTCTGCCTATGATGGATAAGGTGTTTTATTTTAATGTGAAGTAATAACTCGTATTTTTGTGCTTGAGAATATACATATAAACATTCTTAAAATGGTTATACAAAAACCTGCCAAACATACATCTAATGGTTGCATACAGTTTAAACCAACAATCTTGGGCCTAAATAAAGCTGTTTCAGAAAATCAATGAAACATCAAGCATCAGATATGTTTTGATGAGTTTAACATTGACAGTTTTATAAATCCTTTATAACACAAGTGAAGAAGTTTTAAACATTCGATGTTAAAATAAGATATTTTTATATTTCCTTGATCACTAAAAACAATTGTGTACCTAGTGCATGTGGTGTATCAACTGATAAGTTGTACATATTATACTAAAATGTGGTAGCTGAAGGACAAGTACAATACTAACTCACATGATTTTCACAAAACAACAATAAAGTATCAAAATAAACAACGTCCTTGAGATAAGGTTAATCAGTAACTCAAAGTAACTGTGCTCCAGAGATGCTTTGACACTTGTTTGAATATTTATTACTTCTGGTTTCTGCCTACGGAACTTACTTATTCAAAAATCACAGTGATAATCATAGGGATAAACTTTTGAAAGGAAAATTTCAACAAAACTTTGTATTTTGGATGAAATTTTACACTTATTCTCAAAACAGAGCAACGAAACAAACAAAAATAAACAAAGAAATTTTGTTTTGAAACATGAGGACAATATTTTGGTTATCTATTTTTGTTTGAAATGGTAAATTATTTTGTGCATATGGCAGTAAAGTGGTTTGTTTTGAACTTAGTGCAAAGCTACACGACGGCTATCTGTGCTAGCTGTCTCTAATTTAGCAGTGATAAGGCATCTAGTCAACACCACCCATTGCCAACTCTTTTACAAATGAATAGTGGGATTGACCATCACATTATAGCACCCCTATAGCTGAAAGGATGAGCATTATTCGGGATTTGAACCCACGATCTCAGACTGAGAGTTGAGGATCCTGACAGTAAAGTGAACATCAGGGGTTTATATAATACTAGCAGATACCCATTGAAACAATTCAACAGTAATTTTCCTAAAAATAGTGATAATAAATATAAAATGTACAGACAATCCAATCCCTTAGATCAGAGCGTATATGCAATTTGATTGTCTAGTGGGTTGTTTACAACCATATTTTGTCATTCCATGAGTTATTTCAATAACAAAAATTGTATTGTGTTTGTTTTTAAACGAAGGAAACTGATTGCGATGCACTTTTGGCAACAATGTTTTGGTTTTGATGTAATGAGTGCATCTAGCACAACAGAGTGCTCAGGTTCACTTAGTAGCTGTGGGGATTCTTTCCGCTGGATCCCGCCATTCCTTGTCATTTTATTGAGAGCAAGAAATGACTGCTACCAAAGTGAGTGCTTTCAGACAGTTGTCACTTCTATAAGTTTCAAAGGGGAGATATTAGATTCAATTCAAATCAATTTATTTGACATTATACTGTTACGACAGCGGGGGTCACATGACGCTAGTAACACGTCACATTCTCGAAGGTTCGTGAATCCTCGAGTGTTTACTAGATCTGCGGTATTCTTGTATATATAAGACCGCCAAGAAGTGACGGCAACAATGTAATTGAACTGCAGACAGAGATTGATGATTGAGTCGAGTACGTGAGTTGTTCGTTGTGAATTATAGCGTTTGTTATAGCGTGACTGTGGAAATTAAGTGTATTGCAAAGTTGTATTTAGAAAGAATAAACCAGTTTTATTCAAGAAAGGACTTGTATCGCTAAAGTTTTGTCGGAACGAATTTACAGAAAATTAACTAACGACCAGAGACGTAGCAATAAAATAAAATCATGCATGTGTATAATACCTACATGAAACATAATTAAATATAAACCAAACAACAACAGATATATACTCAAACACGTTACGCTCTTTATACATTTTTTCTTTTCATGCTCCTATCTTTGAAATATTTCCTTCAATCAGTCAACAGAGGAAGTCCAATTTTTTCATGAAATTTTCTCACAAAAAGAAACATTTTTGTTATCAAATGTATAAAATATTATACTGATATCAACACTGACTCATCAGTTTTTGTATGTGATGAATGGTCAATTTGAAAAAAAATTAATAATTTTCCAGTAATGTACTCTTTAAAAGAAGCATTTTCACTTATACTTTTCTGTGGTTAACCATTCAAAAGATACAGAGCATGACAGACAGACATACAGATATGTGGCTATTAAATACATAGAGAGAGAGATATTAACTTGTAAAAACCAATTAAGTTATTTCTCAAGCACAGGGTAAAACATTAGCTCAATATAGTTTATGTAATTATAATTCTGATATTGTGCTACAATTCACATAATACCTGATGTACGTAGACCACTGTAGTAAGCATACACAGTGATTATAACTTGAACAAGAATAACACAGATGATGGCCATCACCAAATACGCTCCATCTACATATAGTGTCAGTGGTCCTGGTGACTCCAACACATCAAAAGAGGTTTCGGCAGGGCATGAGTCAGGACAGTCACGACATGAGCAAGCAAACCCGCTTGAAACAACGGGTTCCGAACATCTTGAAACAAAGAATGTAGTTACATTGAAATCAAACCCTAGGGTTGTAAAATTATTTTCTAAACATCTTGAAACAAAGAATGCAGTCACACTGAAATCAAACCCTAGTGTTGTGAAATTATTTTCTAAACATCTTGAAACAAAGAATGCAGTCACACTGAAATCAAACCCTAGGGTTGTGAAATTATTTTCTAAACATCTTGATAGAAAGAATGCAGTCACATTGAAATCAAACTCTAGGG